GTCCCAGACGCCTCAAAGTCTCTTCTAAATGAAATAAGTGAAGATTTTCTCAGCTGCTCCATCTGTTTGGAGATATACAATAATCCTAAAGTTCTACCATGTCTTCATACATTCTGTCAGCAATGTTTGGTGACTTTTAAGGCTAAATCTGGAGGTATATTGAAGTGTGCAACATGCAGAATTCAGTGTAACACTCCGATCCAGGAACTAAAGTCCAACTTTTTTTTATCAAGCTTACTTGACACATACCAGCGACAGCGGAATCTGAGTACTGAACATCCACCAGTGTGTGAAATATGTCAAGAGAAGACAGCAACTCACAGGTGTGTAGACTGCCCTCAATTCAGTTGTCATGGATGCGTTAGAAGTCATGAACGCATCCCATCTCCGTTCTCATGAAGTGCTTACACTTGATAAGTACATGGAAATAGAATCTAGGGGTCATCTAATAGTAGAGTCCAAAGTTTTCTGCAGTGTTCATAAAGACAGCCATTTAGAATTCTACTGTGACACATGCCAGGTACCTGTCTGCTACAAGTGTACTATAGTTGAACACAGAGTTCCTGAACACATCCACAAAAATTTACATGACGTAGCGGATGAGTATAAAACACAACTGAAAGAAATGTTAGGACAATTAAAAGTGAAAGAGAAACAAGTTGAAAAAGAAAAATCAGTTGCTGAATCTACAAGAGAAGAAATTCAAAACCAGTGTAAGGCAGAAAAATTGAAAGTTCTAACAAGAGCAAAGGAAATGATAGAGAGAGTAAAGAGAGAACAGAAAAAGCTGATCGATGCCTTGGATGAAAGATCTCTGATGCGATTAAAAGATGTAGCAATGAGGATCAATGAAAGAAAATTTCACCTTGGCAACATTGTCAGCACACATCATTATCTAGAAACACTGGTGCATCATGGGAACCCTGTTCACCTACTGTCTACCAGGACTGAAACTATGAAGCGAATAAATGAGATGGTTGCTATGGAAACCAAACCACCAATTATTCATGATATCACAAAGTACGATCCCAGAAGTGACCTTGCTGCACACGCATTGATGGGAGTGATCAAATCAGATGTCTGTCAATCCAAATGTACAGTTGAAAACATTCCAAAACAACTCCCAAAAGGTGAATCTGTCAAGCTGCTCATCACGACCAGAGATTCCAGAGGAAAACAAATCATTCCCCGTCAAGATGTCACAGTGAAGTCTAAAAATCCTGATGCATCATGGGAAGACATTGATGTTACAGACAATTACAATGGGACTTTTCAAGTGATGATAGTAGAAAAGATGGTAGAAACACATCAAGTTGCCGTAACGATTGGGAACCAACATATTCCAGGATCACCATTCCATATTCCTGTCATTAGATTGGTGCAGAAAGTGGGAAAAACAGGTGAAGGACAACTCAGCTATCCTTTGGGATTGACCATAAATAAAAATGATGAATTTGTCACAGCTGATAGAGGTAACAAGAGAGTGACCATTCATGACAGAGCCGGTAATTACAGACAATCATTCAGATTTACTGATCAGTTTGCAAAGCCATTTATTCCATGTGATGTAGCAATATCAGATGATAATGAATACTTTATGTTAGATGATAGTAACAATCAAATAGTTGTGAGTGATGAAAATGGAAAGATGATTAGAAAGTTTGGTAGATCTGAAATCGATAATCCACG